ACGCAGGATTAAGGAAGTAATGACTTTTCTCATGACAGAGCCTGTCAATGGACCTGAGCCCAGAGGGCTGAAGGTCCCTGGCAGAGCCAGAGCAGAAAGCTCCAGGGTCCTCACCCCCACCTGCCGCCTATTTGAATCTGCAGGGATTTCAGCCTCAGTGGCCAGGCAGGGGCATCTGCTGCGGGGTCCATTCTAGGGGCTTTCCCCTTATCAGCCCCATCCAGCTGTTTAATCACATTATTAAGGAAGCTATTGTTGCTGTGGAAACTGTGTGGGTGACGGCTGGGGAGGAGACTATGGGCCAGTTCCCGCTTCCCAGCTGGCAAGGGCTTGGGTATCAGAAAGGAATGCTGGAAAGCCTTGGGAATGGATAGTCCATCCTGCCCTGGGGAGTTTAGAGAGTGGCATGGGATCCAGGAAATGACCTCCACTGACCCTGTCTTCACCTTCATTTTACACTCAACTGGAAGTCCACTTGGGTGCCAAGTGCCTTCTCCTTGCCAGACATTACTCTAGACAGCACAAATACTGTAAACTACAGAATACAGAACTAATAGGCCTGTCCTCATGGACACCCATCCACTTCCCACCCACCTGACCCCCTCAGGGGGTCTCAGCTGCCTGTTTCTACCAGTTTCCCCATAGCTTTGCAGGTCACCGTCTCCATTTGAGAGCTGAAATACATTGACATTGGAGCCCTGTCTCTTACTCATGTACTCTGACGGCTGCCTACCAGGAAGCAGAGGTGATCCTGATTCCCAGGAGCTGTGAGGCTTGGAGGGCCTTAATCATGGCCTCAGCCCCTGAACCCAAGGTGCAACTCCCAGAATAATCACCAGGCAACTCCAGACCCTGGACCCCCTCCTAAGCACAGCTGGGCCCAGGGAAAGTGAGTAATTTGCCTAACGTCACAAAGTGCATAAGTGAATGGGGACTAGCTAGAGCAAAGCAAGAGACCCAGGGAGCTTAGCCTCCAAGGGGCCGGGGCTCTTCCTCCCCAGGGTGGGTGAACAGCAAAGAGAGTAGTAAGGGCACCTTCCCTACACGGGCCTGACCAGAGGGAGACTCGTGGGTTTCTTAGCTGCTGCTCCATGTCCAGAGCGTGGAAAGTGCCCAGGAAAGGGGAGTCTGGAAATTTCAGAGGAGGATTTGGTGAATCCTCATTAGCCACATCTTCCCTCTTCCCAGTTAGTTAGTTGGTCACAGACTCTCAGGACCCCAGCTCCTTCCCTGAATCTTCTCTCCAGCATTCCCACCAAGTGGTCACTAACTATGTGCTTACATATCCCTGGTGACCAGGAGCTCCCTGGTTCTCAGGCAATCAGTGCCATCTTTGGACAACTTTTATGGTCAGGATCTTCAGATTTCTGTGCTTCCTGGGGCCATCAGATCAAGGTTAATTAAACAAAAGGGTGTTTATCTGAAAGTAAACAGCTCAGGCTCCTCCTCCATATTTTCTCTTTGCCACTCAAGTGCATCCCAACCTCTAATACTCAAAACAAGAGAGTAATCCTCCAGGCAGGGGACAGAGGGCAGAGTGAAGGGACCTCACCACCTCCCTTGTTCTAGAGGCACCTCTGACCTCATGAATAGTTTGGTCGCATGATTCACTCTTTGGAAATTTATCCCCCCTCACCCCCCTCTTTTGAAATTTATTTCCACAAAAACTCCCAAGGCATGCTCAGAGATCTTGGCAACCTTGTACAAAGTGGACAGAGATGAGAGAGAGGATTCAGACAGAGAGATAATTCATATACCCAGCAGGTAATATGTGTAAATACACAGATGTCCATGCATATGTCCCAGGGTCACAAGTCACCTGAGTCTCCTACCCTCAGATCTAGCCAAGTTCAGCTCCCCTGGCCCCAGAAAAGAGCTAACCTGGACCCTCTGGCCCAGCAGCCCTGCCAGCCCTTTTCCTATAGGTTTCCCCAGGTTTAACATTCCCTTTTAACTTCACTTCTCTTTCTCCTCTGTCCTCTTCCTGGAGTGTCAGAACTTGCTACCTAGAGAGAGTTTCTGAGTTCTTAAGATCATGTCACGTTCCCTATCACATTTGCTCCTTGTGAAAATCTTGTGAGGTGGGGGTTGGAGGTAGGTTATTTCCCCATGTCACAGGTGGAGAAACTAAGGCTATGAGGCTAAGCTGGTGGATGTCTTGGGGAACAAGTATCCTAGAGGGGAATGAACACCCCACCCCATCCCCTCTCCCTCCTTTTCACCCCATTTTCATTCTTGGTTCAGGTACTTCCTGGCTACCTTGAACTACTTCCCCCAGTAGGGGGTGTCATCAATAGGCCCCTAAGGTAAAAGGTCCTGGGGGAAGAGTGACTGAATTGTATGCAGTGCCAAGGAAACACAGCATGGCACACTGCAAGTGAGAGTCACCCAGACTCTGTGTGTCACTGAGTTACAGGTGAGTTGCTAGTCTCAGCCTTTCTCTTCTCAGCAATTCAAATGCTCAGAGGTGAGATTGGGTCCTTCCTGTCACCTCCACTCCCCGCTTCCACTCACCAGCCACCCTAGATGTGGCCTGGAATAGCTCTTAGGAGCCAAGATCATGTGAAAGATGTTTAGAGATGGGGTGGGAAAGGGAGTAGTCACTTTCCTACCATTTAAGGTGTCCAAGCAGAGGTCCCACAAGAGTTTCATAATATAGATGAGCTGACCATCACTGGCATGCTCCTGAGCAGCAAAAAGTTCAGGGGCCAGAGGACTCAGAAGCCCAAAGGTGCAATGTCAGGCAATGGTAAGGTTGGAACTATTTTGGGAGGGATCTTATTTCCCATTCGAGCACTCTGTAATTGATTGGCGTGTGACCATTCTCTCCTGGCCTCACTGTCCCCATTTCTTTTTCTTTCTTTCTTTTTTTTTTGAGACAGAGTTTCACTATGTCACTCTTGGTAGAGTGCCATGGTGTCACAGCTCACCTCGACCTCAAACTCTTGGGCTTAAGTGATTCTCTTGCCTCAGCTTTCCAAGTAGCTGGGACTATAGGTGCCCACCACAACACCCGGCTATTTTTTTTTTTTTGGTTGTAATTGTCATTGTTGTTTGTCAGGCCCAGGCTGGATTTGAACCTGCCAGCTCCAGTGTATATGGCTGGTGCCCTAGTTGCTGAGCTATTGGCACTGAGCCCAGTGTCCTCATTTCTATAAGGAAGGATTGGACTAGCCCCCAAGCTCTGACTTTCTTCACTCTCCAATCACATAGAAGGGTAAAACTAAAGGATCTCTGAACTTGGGACAAAAAGAGAGTCTTGAATTCTCTAACTCTAGGTTCTTTGAGAGCAGATTACTATCTCTGAACAATCTCTAGCTCCCAAGGTTAAGCTGTCCACCCAGGAACAAGGGTCCTTGTACCTGAGGCTTGGATACACTTCCCTCTTGATTCTCTGCTTAAGCACTCCAGACCCTATGACCATGTCATAGTCAAGTGAACAGTGAAAGGAACTATACTTATGTGACAAGGGCACAACCTCTGGACCCTGGCGACAAGTGGACAGTCCAAGCTGAATAATAAATGAGGTTTCCGTGGGGCCAAAAAGAAGGGCAGTGACAGAGAAATGGCACCATCCTCAGTTTAACCTGTTGGTCACCCAGAGGAAAAGAGAGAACCCAAAAAACAATATTTTACCTTTGTCCCACATTTCAAAAACTATGCAATGCCGTCAGCCTACCCCAAACACAGCCCAAGATTTTAAACTTATGCACACACCTATGGTAAGACCCTAGGGGCATGTACATACACACACAGATCATATCCGGAGGGTGCCCCACAAATGTATACACATTTTCAGAAGGAAGACACTATACTAACATTGTAATATTAGAATCACATTTGATTTCTCCAATTACGAGAGCTACTCTCTACAAGATACGTTATATGAGATAAAAAAACACTATGGGTCCTTGGGGGGGTGGGGGAAACATTATGGGTATATATTGAGTATTACAATTTCAATACAGATTTTTGCTTTCTTAAAATGTGTATACATTTTTTGAGTGTCCCTGTATACTCAAAATGGGAAAAAGACTTAGAGATTGGGATTAAGGGTTCTGGATTTCAGATCAGCCTATGGTGGGCACCCCTGGATAACCACAGATAAACCCCTTTAATCCATAACCCCCCTGTCTCCATCTCTAAGACAAACATCACACTATCACTTGCACAGAGGCAAGTGGCTTTTGAAAGCTGGTAAGAAAGCCCTTAGTCTGTATACATTTAATGCATTCCAACTGTCTGGGGGGCCTGGGATCAGCAGCCTGTCTGAGAAAGGGATCTGGGTTAAGTCACAAATGGCCGGCTTTTCTACCCCAGCTCTGCCTTCCTTGAACTGGATAACTTCTGACAAGTGCCTTCCTCTCTCTGGGACTTCCTTTCTCCAGCTGTAAAAGGGGAGGGAGAGGGCTGGACTAGGGCAGTCCTGATTCCCTGTACCGCAGTGGGGTCTGCCTCTCCCTCCGGAGTCCTGGGTGGTAAGGATGGATAGCTCTCCGACCTGCCGCTGGCTGGCTCTTTCCCAAACAGAGGAAGGTGGCAGGAACCTTTCCCAAGAAAGGTGAGCGTCTGCACAGCCGCCTCCCAAAGAACCTGGTTGAGCAGGCGCTCTGGATGCCTTGGGGGGGGCGGGGGTCCCAGAACGGGGGGCGGGGCAACAAGCCCTCGTCTGCAGCGGAAGGGTCAGGTAGGAACCGGCTAATGGTAAAACGTTCCTCATGCACGCGACAGAGGGGCTGGAGCAAAGCAGAAAGTGGAGGCACTCACTTTCCCACTCCCGGGGTGCCTCGTGGGCTTCTCTGTGCGGCCAGGAGGGCGGAGCAGGACACTGCGTGGGACCTGGCTGTGAGGGGGGCCAGGGCGCGGACAAAGCATACCCCCTCTGCCACCAGTGCCCCAAGGCCCCCTCCTAGTCGCCTACACAGTTTCAGGGCCACGCCCTCCGTCCTAAGACAGTTGCTGGCCCCCAGCCACCGTGACCCCTGAGCCCCGCGCCTTACCCAGAACTTGGAGCCGAGCTCCCCGGAGCCACACAGGGCGTCCATGGGGGCGAGGGGTGGCAGCAGCGAGGAAGGAAGGCGAGCGCAGTGTGACCAGCGCTGCTGGGGCCTGGAGCTGTGGGCTGCCTGGGAGACGCCTCCCCGCACCCTGAGCCCCGCCCAGACGTGGAGCCCTACCCCAAGGCTCTTTGGGTCAGGCTCCTGCCTCTGTTTTGGCGGGTTACCACAGCGCCTCCCCAAAACTGCCGTGCTGGGAGGGACTTTGGAGCGAGGTGGAGGAGCCGTTGACACGGGGACAGCCCCTTCCAGTGGCCCCTGGACCCTGCCTCAGAGTTGCCCCTCCAGATACTGAGGCTGAGAGCCCCGGAGCAGAGTGTTTCCAAGGGGGAAACTGGAGTACACAGGCTCTCACACACACTCCCAACAACTCCGTGGGCGCCCAGCCCAATCAGGAGGACACACAGAGAGATTTAGCATTCCTCTCTTAGAGATGGATTGTGAGGTGATCAGAGTCATCTTGGGACATGGATTTCCTTATCTGTCAATGGGAAGGG